AGTGGCTCTAATTTTCATTGAACTTTCTGAATTTTCGAAAATTGCAAAGTTAGAAATAATGCGAGAAAGCATGTGCTGTAGTAGCACCATTAGTTTTTTTCTTCTCTCTCTCTCTCTATCTGGGAAGCATCTAAGACCTATACAGAATTTTCTCCAAAATCGATATTTCCCAATCAATCTGAATGTTGTCGCAGTGCTTCGAACTTGAAACGGATATTTTAATTTTGTAAGTAGTTTTCATGCAGCTTCTTAGACATTTTCAAGTTTTTTTCGAAAGGAGCTTAAATTATTTTCTTTAATTAGTTGCTAGAATCGAATTTTGCTCCAGAGAGGCTTATATAAAAGGAGTTAATAATACCTCTGAATTTTCGAAACTTGTAAGAGGAAGTCGAAAATACTTTTAAGTTTACATCTATATTATTAAAAATAAAGATCTTTTCGGTATGAAATGTTCTTGAAAATGAAATCTTTTTATAATTTCATGCACAAATCAAAACAAATGTGACTGGGCGTAATTTTTAGTAAAATTGTCACAATTTTGAACAATTGGCCCTATATCACCACATCTTTTTTGTCTATTTGACACCCTAAACTCGAGAATTTAATATTAATTGATAACGAGAACGTAAAGTTGTTTATCATTACCTAGTATATATTTGTAATACTGTGCTTCAAAATTTTACACGACACTTCGTTTCCCGTTTATCAGTGTGACCATTGGCAAATCACTTTGTTTATTAATATTTTTTTATAAATAATATTTATATTGTTTAATTTTTAAATTTCAATGATGTGCTAAACAACTAAACTTGTTTCATTGAGTATTTTTTCATATTTTTGCCCTTCATGGCTTCTTTAATTCATTGTTTTTTCTGTATTTTAACTAGGTCGTAGTGACGAACACTCTTGTTCAGTTCCTTATTGTCCAGTTTTAACGAAACTGCCTTTTGCAGAATTTAAAAAGTGGTACGTTTAAAATATAATTTAAATAAAATGCTAAGTTTTTATTTGACATATTTCAACTTAATTGATCGAATTTTTTTAACACAGCAGTGGTAGAAATCCTTTCAAGATTGTTCTTCATGAAGTATAGTCTCGTTACGTGAAAACCTGAAATGTTAATGGAAAAGGAAAACATAAATTTTTCTTAAACACGTCAGTGCATCGTGTAAGTAAAGAACAAAAACTATTCACTCTCATTCAGCAAATACTTATTCAAAATCTACCATCAAATGCAGAACGAATATTTTTAGCACCAATAGTCATTATATGGATTGAAACATACATACATACATACATACAAACATACATACACACATACATATATACATAGATACATACATATATACATACATACACATCTTATGCATACAAACACACATATGTGCATTTAAATGCGCAGGTTGTCGCACTCTGTGACTTCATTTTTAACAGCATCCTTGAAAACACATTTTTTCATGCCAAACCGTTTTCTTGATTTATACCAATTTGGTTATTCTCCGCCATTTAGTACATAATGCAAGAACGAATTATAATAAAAGGCGTAAGGCCTAAATAAAAGGCCTAAAGGCCATTGCGCCTTGAAGGACTAGTAAAACACTTGGAGAGTGAGATTACCGTCCTCTCAGCTCGTGCTGCCTGGTCTGGCGCCTCTCGGTACATTCCATCGAAGATCAAAGTAGAGCTGGGCATTGCAGCCAAGCGGCTGGGGCGCCCACTGGGTCGGTGGTGCGCTGAGAAGCGGAAATGCGGGGAGTGTAGCGGGGACCGTGGCGGGGAGCGTGGCGGCGAGAGTAGCGGGGAGCGTGGCAGGAACGTAGCGGGTAGCGTGGCGTGGCATAGCGCGTGACGAGCGGCTAGGGAGGGTGGTGGAGTGGTGGGTGCGTGGCGGGAGAGCGTGGTTATGGTGCGTGGCGGGGGTGCGTGGGGTGTGCTTGAAGGGGTTCGTGGCGGGGAGCGTGGCGCTAGGCGGCGAGACAGGCGTCCGTGTGAACCGCTGCGGCGTGGTTGGACAATTGTCCTTGCCGTTCGACGCGACACCCGCTCGGTCGGTCGGTCGCCCGCCCACCCGTAGGAAATGGGTGTTTAGTGGAATCGTGGGGAGAGAGGGCGGGCTGGGCACTGGGCCTCGCGAGGAAGCGGTCACTGCCTATTTTCGGTGCTCGTCCTCCACATTAATCCCCGCGAGATTGAGGAAAACCGCAAGGCCCTGAATGACCTGCATGGGAAGCGAACAGCAACCTTCTCCCTGACGCCCTCCCAATCGCTGTAGTAGTTCTGTCGATAAACTGCCCATTATACACGCTGTACATGGTTTTGCTACAATACAGAGCGCGCAATGAAAGACATTGTAACAAACACCGTGGCCGGCTCACTAGGGGGCATGTTCGCGATTGTAATAATTCTTGGTATTTGAATTTACAGACCTTGCAACGAAAAGTGCTGTTTTCCTAGATCTGCATAGTTTCAATTCATGCGTACAATTGGTTGGGTGTATTCGATTCGATTGCTTCACGGCTGCTACCAGATAACGTGTAGAATATAAGATTTAACCATTAACATACGAGATTAATTATTTCCCGACAGTCGTTTGAGGGAAAAGGAACACATTGTAAGGAAGTTTCCCTACTAAAACTAACTATCTATATGAGAACATAGAAACTTAGATCCTCAATACGTATATTTCATTTAGACTTATAAAATTGCGCTGTCTCTGCAGAGACTCTGACCGAGAGATGTTAGGTCTCGACGGTGGTGGGTTTTCAACATTGCAATATGTCGACCGCGACAGTACCTTAACAAACGGATCAAGGACCGCGCGCGATCTTGCCTTCCTCTTCCTTGTCCTATTGTCTCCCGTTACTCTCATATCCTTACCTTACATGCACTATACCATCACGGATACCAAGAGACCATTCGGAAACATAGAACTCGTTCCGGCTGGGGCGGTACCCGCTGAGGGAAATACCTGGAGGGTGAATTCTCCTGCAACCCGACGAGTAGGTCGGCGGCAAATCTCACCATCTGGAGGGGAGGAACACCGCCACCACTGGGCCTCAAAACATTTACAACACTAACGGACTAATGACTATACCAGTTGATGAGCTCGGAAATATCAACTAACCAACAAATTAATTATTCACCAAATAACTCTACCTCGTAAAAGATCGACATATAATCTGTATCATTTGCTTTGTATCGAAAAGTGGCGAAAGATATTTGCTACCTAACACACACATCTTGCCTTCACTTAAACCAACAGGGACATCCCTTCCTCCCAGTCCCCCAAATCCCGGAGGGTGCTGTTACTCCTACTGTTCCATTCTCATCCGGCCTATTGTGCAAGTGAGAAAGATCTGTGCAAAAACGTTTCAGCAGGTGTCTCTGCTCATGAGAATAGGGGACTCGTTTTTGCATATGGGCCGCGTGGCAAAAGGTGGCTTGACCCGATTTCACTCTAACACATGGCAAACGTCCACTCTTCCTCTTTTTAGATCCAACATTTTTCCTTCCCCTCTATGATTACGCTTCTATGCCAGCTCTCCTTCAAGAGTTCCGTATACTGTGAGGATCCCGTTGTGAACATTACACTTGTATTTAATGTTGAAACCCTAAGGTTATACATTTTCATTTGAGAAAAACATTCTTGTTATATTTTATTTTTTATTAAGAAAATCTATTTCAAAATATAATTCTATATAAAAATTGATTGAAAACAACATAAGAAAAAATCAAATATGAAAAAATACTTCTTAAAAATGCGAGAAATAAGTACGATTCCTGGTCTTGGCTGCGTATGTAGGAAGCAAACACAAAGTTCAGTGCGGAAATAACTATATTTTTGAAACAGATGAATTGGGACCGGTGGCCAGTCCGAATTCATTTCTAAAGTATCTAATTTACATAGGGAAGCATGCGTCTCCAAGCCTACGGGAAGTTAGCATCTGTGAAGCCGTATGAAAATGAATACGAGGACACTTTTAGGGGGAGCAGGGTTATCCCGGAAGAAGGGGTAAGGGCGCGCAACAAAGCAACAGGAATTCGGCCGTGAACTGACCACCGGCGGGGTAGCAAAATAGACGAAACCGGACAGCTCACGTGTTGCCCGCGGCCAGTTCCGGGTGGAAGGGGTAGCCAGGGGTTCGGGGAGGGGGCGCTGCCGAAAGCCACGTCCGCGCCGTGTAGCCCGCTCGGCCGGCCACTCGCAGCGCTGCCGGACGGTTACAAAAACTGCCTAGTGGAGCGGCGTGCCCCGGGGCCAGCGCCGCCCCACCCTCCGCTCTTCTCGCGCTTGGACTGAACCGGACATTGACTTTTCCCCCCTCCCCATTTTTATGTATTTTGCAACATTGCCGGACGCAGTGGTCAAACGAGTTCAGGAGAAAGCATGAGCGGCGCGGGGTAGCGGCCCGAAGGGTGGAGAACCACAATTAAACCTCTTCATACATTCGTACGCACGATGCACACGCTTGCATATGCGCCGGCCAGCCCCTCGCCGGCGACGCGCCGGACTGCGCCTGCCGCAGAACTGGTCTTCGGGTGAAAGCTGCATGATTTAAGGGGGACGGGGCCCAAGGGGGTGAGAGGCGCGCCGACTCGCCGTAAGGATGTGTGCGAGGAGATAGGGGCATGGCGCGCTTGGGCGAGGCGCGCCGTACTGCACAGACAAGCAGGCAGCATAATGGACGAGAGTGGACCTTCGCCTCGACCCCTTTCCCCTCTTTCCCCTCCCTCCCCCCGGAGGCCCCCACTTAGAACTGGACTTCAGTGGTCAAACAAGTCTTGGGACAGTACCTACCTCAAAAACCCGTTTTTCGTTTCGAACGTTTAAATGATGGTAGAATAAAAAAAATACCCCTCCCGTTTGTACTTTCTGTATTGTATTTACTTGCCCAGTCGGACCTTACAAGCTTCCCCCAACCTTCTCCAGTTGGCTCTCTTTCTGGCGCACGTACACACACACGCACTGGACATTCAGTTTCGGGAATGCTCTCCGGGGAATGCGCGTGTGTCGGGAGGCTCGCGCCTCCGCGCTGCGTGTGCCGGGCGCCCGCGCCCACGTGGGTGCGGCGGGGTTCCTTGGGCGCTGGAGGAGGTGCGCTGGGCGCCAACGGTGCGTGTGACATGTGCAATGCTCGTGGCGGAGAAGAGATCCCGGAGCTCTCGCTTCGCAGTGCAAACAGGGCAGTGCTGTTGTAGAATATAAAATATGTCGAGTGACAGATCGGAATATAGTGTGGTGGAAATTATGTCATTTCTTGTCGTTTCTTACTGCTGTCAAAATTTCTTAGGCGTGGGATAAAATAATCCGAGGAAAGTTGTTGGCTGTGAAACGAAATGCGAGTGACAGTTCTGTTAAATATTTTTGTGCAAATAAAATAACGAATCTCAATTCCATCTACATTATTCAACAGTGCAATCAAACAAGGACTGTAAAGCATCGTCCGGGTTCATAGAGATCGTCTTCACAGATGTACAACCAGCGATGGATGCCGAAGAAAACAAACACGCAAGCCAACGACCAGAGCAGTCAACACCATCGGTGCGCTCAACGCCCAGCTGTCGACGCCCCCATCGCCAGCGCTCTCCCCATGGCCATCGACCTCCCCATCGTCCGGGAGATCCCCAGCGGCGCGGGAGCCGGCGTGGAGGTGGCGCATTCGAGGCTGTCGGCTTTATGGCTCGTCGGTTGCGGCGGCGGCGGAGGCGGCGGCGGGGAGTCTGCAGCGGGGTTTCCCGCACTTAGTGGTATGTTCTCCGAGCCGCGTATTCCGCCACTAAAGTGACGCTCTCGATCGGCATCACCGTCACGCGGGCCCGCTCACGTCGCCGCCAGCGACGCGCTGCTCCTCCACGTCCCGTAAACACCTTTCCCCGTCAGCTACGTGCTACCTTCCCCACGACCCAGTGCAGTGATAAAACAAGAAACGTGCGAGTAAAATTTGGGGAAAAATCGTCACGCTCGGGGAAATGGTTATGAGGCTTTCCACTTCAGGGGTGTGATTCACGTGTAATGTTAGTGCCAGTGTATGGGTTCACCTAAGAAAACGTTTTGTGATCAATACCCCAAACCAAAAATATAAACCCGTTTGTTCTGTGAAAAGGCATAGTTATTTGAAAGCCAAAAAACGAAGAAACCTAATGTCTCTTACATTGACAACCACCAAAACAAAATCTATGTAAGGTTTGTTTGATCTGGCTTACTTTTTGACTATTTTTCTCGTATATTAGCTGTGTATTAATAACGTGCGCAAGTACATTTTAGAATATCGCTTCAATGAACCAAGTAGAACTACTTTGTCTTAGTTCGGTTTGAACAATGAAAGTACCCTTTTACTCTGAATCAAAATGTTCTCTCATGAAAGTGAATCTTGAAGGTGGGTTTTCTTTCCAACTTTCTGAAACTCGTCAACTAATATTGAAAAAGTAACTAAAAGAAAATGTTTATGGCCCGTCCTCATGTTCACACGAATAATTTTCGGAAGTATCTACCAAGTTCTCTAATGAGCTGTCATTTACGTTTTTTTCTCAAACCGAAACGAGATCGTTACAACTCAAACTTCTCCTAGCTATTATAAACCCATTTAGTACATGGCATCAACTTTCTCGTAAGCATTACCAACATGCTTCGAGTATAGTGCATTTTTGCTTGTTTCATGCGACATATTTGAAAGAATGAAGAAACATTCAACTCTTCAAAAAGCAGTTTGTGAAGCTATAAACTCATATAGCTATTGTTTGGTTAAATGAGAGTTTTGATTCACATATCAGATCCACCTTTTGTTCTTGGAATGAAAAATTTGCTTCGGTTAAAATGAATTATAAGCTTTGCATTATAATGACACAAAATGCCAAAAACTGCAACATGTTTCAGGGAACGAGACATTTATACCTTGTGAAAACAATTGTAACATTGAAGGGGGATTCTCACGAATCGTGTGATAAACAATTTAGTATATTGTGCGTGTTAAAAAATCGCATATAATGAATCCTTGGGGTAAGTATCAAAATTCAGTGTGAACGACACTACATTGTTTTTGGAATGAGAAATAATTCCTCTAAACAAAACTTATTTTTCCTTCGTTTATAAATCTGTTGTATATACAATATTCAGCACGTATGAATTGCCGTTGTGAATTCATATAAACCACTCTTTGGTAAAAGGCAAAAATTCTGTTTCGACAACATAATACTACTTCACAAAGAAACTGATTTGATATTGAAACGAAAAAGCTAAAACGATGTTCGTTTACTGCTTTTTTTCGTGCGGCTTGAGCTACATACCTCGTGTATGCGTGTCGCTCAAAAGAAATGCTAGTTTCAATGAGAGTGGAAATAAACAATCAGCAGGAACCACTTGTCAAGTTCACTTGGAGAATTCAAAGAAATGCATATTTACATAATTCTTAAATTATCAAAATAAACTCCAACATAAATTGATGTTTTTCGTTACGGTTACAAACCTAAAAAGACAGCATGATTATCTAATGACGTTTTGTCTCAGTTCAACCATGAATTCGATGCCAACAGTATTTTTAAGTCCAATCGGAAACACATATGTCGTTCTGGGAGCATAGCGACGCGGCATGAAGCGAGCCCATACGTAGAAGCTGGCGCGGACTCGGCATCGCAGACTCCGCAAGCGAGTGGCTGTTGACGTAGAGGAGGTGAAATGGCTATCAAACAATTAAGCAATCAGCTGGCTCCAGAGGAGCGAGCGAGCGAGAGAGAGAGAGAGAGGGGGGGGTATGGGAAACTCCTGCGTCACTTGCCGCC